TGATAAACTTGGCAAACTTGGTATGTTTGGTTTAAAGACGTTCTAATAGAGATGACATCAGTATATTTGGACTAAATCAAGCCTATCCAAATGCATTCAATTAAAATGTGATTAATGATATTAACTGCCATTTGTTTGCTTCCTTGCCTGAGGAAATGATAATATGGCAACTATTACTAGGAACTGTTAGTCATTGCAAATGATATGTTTATTTTCCTATCTTTTGCATTTTTCACTGCGTAGCCCACTTCTTCACCTTCTTCTTATTCTTTACTTTGCTTGGAACTCAATAACTAAAAATTGGTGATTTCAGGAACAGAGGGCTTTGAAAAGATCTTCTCCCGGGATAATCTCAGTAGGGGCAGTAGTGCTGGCAGTATTGGGCAATCTCCTAGATCGTTTGTTACACATGAAACCCCACGGTCAACTCTAGCATCAACTGTAGCCTCACTCAAGGAGGCAGTTTTGGATTCACAAGCCAAGTGTACCGCCCTCATTACCAACTTATCCAGTTCAGAATCTCCTGAAGAGCATCTTGCTAATATTAGAGAATTGAGTCAGAAACTTGAAAGCATGCAGAATTTGTTGGTGCAATTGCAGAGTCAAATTTGATGGGCCTTGTTTCCTGCCCTATTCTTCGTGGCAAAATTATGGGATTGAAGAAAGCATCCCAACGTGGCCGAGAAAGAAGAAAAAGAAGAATCATCCCAGTGAAATAGTCTATCACATTCTTTCGTGTATATAGAATACACATGAATACGTATCAGTCAGGCACAAAGAAAAGCTGTTCTATATGAGTTATCCCAAAAATTTTGTATCAAAGCATGACAATTTTTCCCTTCAATATTAGCAATAATTAAAATGTTTCATGGCTCAATTGTTATGCTTTTCCAGGTAGTAGTGTCCAGTTTGACAAGCAAAATTACAATTTTGCTCCGATCAATGAATCTTGAATGATTTTCGGTCTTCAATTCATGGAATCTTTGAGTAGCACATGAGAATCATCTATTCATAGATCAAACTTCGAATGAAACTTTCACTTTTACTTCAACTAAATACAAGATTTGAGCTTAGGTTCTTTGGTATCAACCAAAAGTAAATTGGACAGCAAAAACTCCTTAAATATTACTCTAAGTAGACCTACTTGGAGTAATCCATTGCTACAGCATCCCAGCGCCATACTGTCCCATCCTCGCAGCAGCTGAGGATGGTGCTGCATCAAGCAAAAGAACAAAGATGAGTTTGGTGATTCCCTTCTTTCACATATATATGACAACATACATGAAGTAGTTACCTTCCGTCAAAGGACATGGCAGTCTGCCTAATTGGGGACTTTGATTGAGCATGAGATAGCCTGATGGAGAACATAAGGGTCAAAACACATCAAAAACACATACTATGAAGTAATTTTAACAAAAATATGAGGGAAAGGAAAATGACTGACTTTGCTATGAGAACTGGGGGGCTGCTTTGCAGTTCCCACACAAAAATCTTTCCTTCCCTATTCCCTGGCACAGAACATCACAAATTATAAACCTGATTCCAATACAATTGTTGACACAAAATCTCACAAATTATATAAATTTATTTTGGAATAGCTGAATAGTACAGCTAGTAGTAAGTTTAAAACGTTTTTGAAGAAACGGTTATGAATTTATTTTGGAATAGTTGAATAGTAAGAGAACTGTTGGCAAGTTTAAAATATTTTCAATGAAACGGCTAAGTATGTAGCTGGTTCAAAAGATGGATTTGTAACTAATGAGTTACTACACAAATTTAATTTTTGAACAACAATGGATTTGTAACTGATTGACACAAACGGTTTGTAATTTTTAATTAAAATTTATAACATTAAATTAACTAAAAATATTAAATATAAAATAGAGTAATCACTTGAATAAAGAATAAATAGAGAAATTAAATTTAACTTAATCTGAAGATTCATAGTTCAAATCTAATTGAAACTCTAGAAAAAATAACTTAGTTCATAATGTAATATCTAGAGATCAATTATAAAAAAAAAAGAATTCTCATTCTCAATAAAAATAAAATAAAATAAATCCAAAATTGATCAATGTCACCACTAAAGAATTTTTCTATTTTTCACTGGAGTTCCTCCTCTTCCTCTCGGTAGAAAATCTACTCCTCAACCGACTGCCTTTAATTCGAATACTGGATAAATATTTCTAGAAAACCTAATTGTAATAGGAGTGGAACCCATGTCTGAACAATGAGGACTCTGTTGATGTGCTGGAAATCGCCTAAGGTATTGGCACACTAAGGGAGTACCGACACCTTCGCTGTATCAGCGAAAAAGAGTCCGTGTCTAGATTTTGCCCTCTAAAGGTGTTTGGACTTTTCATTGGTAAAACTGTTTGGACCCCTCATTCTTTTCAAAAATTGACACTTTGATCTTCCTAATTTTGATTTCTTTGGTTTGCTCTTAAGAATTCCAATTTCTTGCAATTTAGTGCTTACCTACACAAAACAAATTAAACATATGTAAAATCAAATAAAATAAGTCTCAAACAACTCAAAAAACTAAAGCTTAAAATTAAAAGACATGTAAAAAATATATAAAATTTAGATTTATTAAGCACAAACACATGTAAATTTGATAATATATAAAAGGTGAATGCTAATATAATAAATTTCAATAAATAATAATAAAGTAGAGAAAATAGAGTATAAATTTACAGAATAGAAAGAAAAACTAAATATACTAAAACTTTAATTTCAAAAAGGAATTTTAGCTAATCAAAAATAAAATACTAATTTACTAAGAAACTAAAATGCAAAATATGAATGGACAAACCACTCCAAAATAATAATAAATAATATGAAACACAATTATTTAACCAAAAAAAAAATGTATGTTGCATTTCTTTCAAGTTGAAAAGAAATTGATGTATAGCATCAATTAACTAACACAACACTCTTAGTCAAGAAACAAAAGTGTTCCCATCTTTGCCGTTGGTTTCGGTATTAAACAATTTATAGGGTCAATGAAGATGTTGATTTGGATCTATGATGTACATTTTCCAAAGAAGAGGTTTGCTTATGAGGACCCAGTCTCTTGACAAACCACTGGTGCAGTTTCTGCACAGAGAAATCCAAACATAGTTAGAAAAACATGGAAGCAATCTTCAATGAAACAAGAATAAGGGGAGAAGCAATTCTTTCTTGAAATATGGATAGTGAGAATATATTTGACTTGAATGAGTATTTTATCAGCGATTAGTTTAATGAGGGTACAATTCTTGTTAGGGTTAAAAGCCCTAATCTTTTTGATCTTATGAAAATTGAAATATTATGGTGTCAGTTGTTGAATAAATATTAAATTTATTGAGAATCAACTATAAGGTGAGTTGAGAATATATATGTCAACAATGGTTAAAGTATCTTTGTATTTTTTTCAAAAATTAGTATTCTTTTGTTGATAAAAGAACTTATGAAACTAGATTTTTTTCAAAATGAAACAACACTTTATAAGAATAAACAATTATAATTTATTATATTATTCATTATGTTTTATAGTTATTTTATATCTTAAAAAAAAATTTAGTTTTATTTAAGTTTTCTCTTATCAATATATTCCATATCAATAAAAAAATATATAAGAAAATAAAGTTTTGCCTTGAGTCCATGTTTTCGTGGAGCACCTATACTCCACCATGTAGTTTTCAGTATCTTGATAACGTTTTTGACGTGTTTTCTATAAATTTTAGGAAGTTGTCCATTTTGGTTAGCAAGAAACTGGCAATTAAACCATTATTTGCTTTGATTTTTTGAGTAGAATTAACAGATACTAGTTCACTTGAGTGACAATTAGTGATCAGCAGAAATTTTTGGAAGATGTTAATTGCATTTGGAGAATGAATTTTG